GAGTTAGATTGTTTTTTAACAAATCCACACATTGGTGAGTTATAGGGAGTGGAAGTCCCTAGAAAATTTGTATTTTTTTTTTTTTTTTTTTTAGTCTTCTCTTACGCCATTGCATAAACTGCGGTTATAACTGAGAGTATCATTCTTCACTTGATAAAGATTGCGCCGTCCGTGTACATCTTATTTTTTCAATTAAACTACCGGCACTGCGTGACATGTTACGTCATTTCCATGGTCTATACTCTCATAAACCATAGCTCTCGACCAATCAGCGAGCGAGGATTCGCTCAGATTGTAAAATTATAATTGGAAGCCTGCGCAAGAAAGGATGCACACAAGGCAAAACGGACCTTCTTTTTAAAGCGATTGTGGTCCGTAAAATTGTGTACGGCCTTTCATTTTACGCTGCTAACGTTTCAGACCTTGCCGCCTAGCAAAGCTTTTAAAAAGTGTTACAATTAGAGTCGCTATACATCACTGAGTTATGCCTCTTTTACAAAGTTAAACATTGTGACCATCCGTTACATAATTGCATCCTAGGTATAAAGATTCATCGGAGCGCTTAAGAAATATAACCGGAATGAGACTTAAATATTAATTTTGAATGTTTGTAAAAACAGATTTTTTTTAACAGGTTAATTTCACTGGTTCGTATACAACTGTATTTTTGCGCTTTTTTCTTGTCACTTTTTATTGTAACATCGCATATATATTTTTATCCGATGAATTCTGATTTTCTCAGTCTCTGACTTGAATTCTCGAAGAAGACGCCAACAACCCACACTTTTGTTCCACAAGAGCAAGTAAGGTTAACTGAGTCTGCAACCCGCTTAATTGTTTGCGTGTTGCAGGCGTGCGGAGGCAACGGAGAGGGGGCGTTGAGCGCAAGGAAAAGAAAAGAAAATGCCCGCTTTGCAGGCGAAAGGGAGGTAGATCTCGGCGCTGCGGCTTTAACATCGCATATAACAGTACTTCGCTTCACGTTAACCAGGGCTGGGTGCGAAACAATGATCTGATGGGGGCTGCCAGCGAGGAACCAACTTTTACTGAAGTTCAGTCTCACAGAAAATAGATTTTGTAGACACATACGACTTTCACTCAGCAGAGAATTATCCACTCATCTTTACAAGCGCGCTGAATAGGCTAAAGCCTAAATCGTTGGGAAAGGTTGGCCAGCCATGGCCAGCGATGCATGGTTGCACCATGGTTGAACACCGGTTTCCAACAATGGTCTACCATGGTTTGACAGTGAGAAAACCATGTTTTGACCATGGTCAACCATGAACGTTAAATGGCACAAATTGGTGGTCATAGTATAAACAGTTTTAAGGTTATTCACTTTTTAATTAGCGAGGAAGAGTTTCGCAAGCCCCCCGGTCTGAATAGGGTTGAAATCGATAGCATGTTTACTTATTCACCTGTAGGCGAGCATTATTCAGTAGAGTCGAGAACAATCCCGAAGCCAAGTTTATAATATAAGATGTGTTGCTATTTGCAAATTTTTATCTGTACTGCACTTATTGCAGGATTTTAACTCTTCCGACTCTGACCACTCAAGTGCAGTACAATGTTTAAGTAGTTAACTAGTCGAATTACACAAAGTTAGTTAGTAAAGGAAACTGAGAAACCACTGAAAGGGAAAAATGAGTAAAGACATGGCTAAATCAACAAGAAGTATGGCAACTCAAAACAGCCTTTATCTTTCCAGCTCTTTTAAAAACAAACCAAACCCCACGTTACGAAATTAAAGTCCATGAGAGACTGGCCAAGATTTTTGGGTCAACCACAGAGTATGTTTTATTGTCATCTCTGTTCTCCTGAAATTAATTCTCCCTTAGCCTTACATGAGTCAGGGGAATCAAGAACAAACGCAAAGCCAAGAAACCGGACACAAGTTTCGAACTGCACTTTAGCTACGTACCATCACTATACATGACGTGCGAAAACAAATCACCACACAGATTGAAAAACTGATACCCACCAAGTACTGTAAGTCAAGTGAGAAGGTATGTCTCGCAGGTCCCCCCGGATATCCTGGCCTTACTGGTTAAAAGGGACCACGTGGCAGGAGGGGACCAAAGGGAGAGAAAGGTCCTCAAGGTCCCATGGGACCACTGTGAAATCTGGAAAATCAGGAATAACGGGTCCTGCACCGAGAGGAGAAAAGGGAGACAAGGGAGGAACTTGGCCAAAAGGTATGCCGGGAGCTACTGGAGGACCTGGAAAAACGGGTAAGACTGGTCCAAAAAAGTCGAGAGGAGAAAAGAAAGATATGAGAGAATCCCAGCCAAAAAGCATGCCGGGACCAACTGAGAGCCCTAGAAAATCGATATCTGCTCCACAGGTAATGATGCCACCTGCAGATCAGACTAGAGACGAAGGGCATAATATGTCGTTTTATTGCAGAGCTGGAGGAAATCCTACTCCTAGTGTCGAATGGCGATTGAAGGGCAGAAAACTTTTGTCAGGTGCAAAGTATTTGGTCAGAGAAGGAGAGTTGGTTGTTAGGAATCTAAATCATAACGATACTGGGCAGTACACATGCGCAACGAAGAATATTCTTGGATCCTCTAAGGCCTCTGGTAATTTTACGGTTCGAAATAAGAAGAACATTTTTTCTACGGTAAACAACCGTTTAAACAAGGCCTATTACAGGCTAATTTGGCCGTCTGATGGCTAGTGTAGGGCCATGTTTTATGGCTAGATTATACCTCATAAAAAAATTTCCTAGAGGTCGAGTTCCGTTTGTATCTGTCTGATCGAATGCGAATGTGATACTTCATAAGAAGTATTACGTAGGCCCCCTTTATGTAGAGAAGAAATATGTCCCGCGTAGAAGAAGGGTTACTCGCCTACTCAAGAGCCAATTTTCATAAATTTCCTACGAATTGGCGAATCGTTTACACTGGAACGAAAAGGTGGCTCGATTAAAAGTTGACCCGCCTAGCCGGGTTACCGTTTCTCAAAGATAGGGTAACCCTCCATGCTGGCCTGCTCTTCTTCATGTAAACTCTTCTATTGCTCGCCCACTCAACTCGGTCAAGGCGAGATAATCAGAGGACGCGAGAGCGCGCGGTTGTTAGCGTATGTATCGGGCAAAGGGGTCAAAACTTTTTTCTCATATAAACGCTCGCTTAAAATTTGCCAAGAGGGTGATCCTCCCTCGCGGGACAGCTTTCCTCTATATTAACGGGGCCTTTATTATTAAAGTACATCTCATTAGGCACAGCTAGATTGTGTGGCAATGGTGTAAAGGGAAAAGAGAGGGGGACACTATAGGCGCACAAGAGCGGGAAGGCCGCGCAAGGAAGGAGGCGAGGGAACACATGCGAGGCCGCCATTGTTTTCCTCGGTCTTTTTTATTACGCTTAGATCCTCAACTTGACAGTGGCTTAGGAAACAAGGGTAAAACTAAGACATACTCCCTCGATCAGCTTGGTTGAAACAGGGGCTCCTGATTGAAATCAATGCAATACTTTTTTAAATATCGGCCGTTTAAAAATAGCACCCTGACGAGAACCTTACCGCAAGCCGTTAAAAGATAAAGAATGTACCACCTAAAATAGCAGATGACGTTTTCTTTATGAGCTTCCACCCTATTTTATTCATGAGATAAGGCTGAAATCATCGAAACCATTTGAAACCGGTTAAACCGCCTAAAAATAGTCGAACATTACCTTATCTTAAAGAGATTCTACTGCGTTGTATTCATGAGATAAGGACTAAAGGCTATGATGTCATCGGCGTAACCGAGATTCTACCACAAAAAAACAGTTAATTCGTTTGCTGCTATACTACTAACATTTGGTATCATTTATTCAAATAGCGAATGTCAAAATATACAGGAGAGTCAGCAAATTTCACAGATGGTGTATTATTGGTGTAAACGAACCTTGAACTGTTAAAATACATAATTCCATTATGTTTGCGTGGGTTGTTCTTGGCCACTTCCCTCTTGTTGCTGTTTCTCACATTTAAAAAAAGAACAAACAAACAAACAAAATAAGAAATCAAATCTTTCGTTTAGAATAGTTGCTGGTGATTTAACGATATACCGGTATAAAACAAACCACACATGAGGAATACTTGATTGAAGACTCAAATCTGCGACTCCGTTCGGCATTCCAATCTAGTTACAGCTGCAACGTGTTACAAAACCACAATGTTCGGATAACAACATTTTAGGGGGGTTACAAGTCAAAGACACAGGGGACTTACATATTTTGACGTCCTCGAATGTCCAACTAAAGGAAAGCAAAACGCATCAAAGCAAACGCTCATGACTTTGTTATTATCCATTATGTGATTTCGGTCACGCGGTTCCACGGGGGGTAGGGAGTGACAACGACCCCAACATCCTGGCCCTTTAAACACAAAGAAAAACATATATCGTTTACATCCAAAGAGCACCTACGACTTCGACCACAGTTCATCGTCTTAGTGATAGTCCAAATTATTTTTTTTCATAAGACCTTAAGGTCAAGTCCTGTTTTTGATATCCGCAGTAATATTCTCCACTTCTCTCTCTTAATTCATAAAATATATTCAAATTTAATAAGCTGCTGTTGTCGTTTGAAGTGTCCAGTTTGTCTTCACTTGGGGTGATCTAACAGGTTCATTCTTTTTAGGAAAGGTCCAGAGATTCGAATGATTGACTGACTGGGTATACTCTACTGATCCCACTACTGCCAGTGATCCAGTTGACGCAATCGATTTCTAGACAGATGAGGACGTCATTCCATCAGGATACCGTCTGTGGGGAGTGAGCGGCACTTCAACTAGTTTGCAGGTCACCATTTGTTTGTATCGTGGAAGCCGCCTGGTTGCCGAAAAGAGTACTTCGTCCTATGCTGCCAGAACGTCTGTTAGGACGTTTGAGGTGCATTTTTCTCAAGTGACCTCGATCCGCACTGGTGTCAAATACGCTACAACAGCTAGAATAAGTAGAAGTAAATACTTTTTGTCGCTTATTTTTTAATTAACGATGGTATGGCATGGGCCTCGTGTTCTGGTGTCAAGTAAACTTCAAGTCCTCCTCAAAAAGGCCAAACAGTTCTAGCCAGACTAACGGTCAAATACCAGCCTTAATATCCCGTTCCTCTCAGTGCTAAAAGGGAATAGACTAGTAGGAAAAGAAGGCAGGAATTAATTAATTCTCATGATCGAAGCAGGTAGAAATATTAACCGAGAAGTTAATGACCACTTTAAGAACCTTTATCGGCCAAACAAACCTGTAACTGAAACATTTGACGAAAAGCAAAATGTTTTATGAGGTACCGCACCCTTCGCAATGAAACTGAATAACGCAACCTAATCCCTTCCCATTACAGGACCAAATTGATGAGTGCTTAATTACATTTTGTAAAGACTTTCCAGAGTGGTTTAATCAACGATCCTGTTTCCTTTTAAGTTAAAACGAGGAACCGTCGTCTTTTTCTTCTTTTGTTTCCTTGTTCCAGCAGACACGCTGTTACCATTGCTTTTTGAAACCAAGCTGTTCTGGATTCGTTTCAGTTCTACAACATTGCAATTCTGTGTTTTCACTCACGTGGCCAGCATCTATACAAATTTATTGGAACAAAAGAAAGCGTTTACATAAAAAAAGAGTTCAACTCCCACAGGGCTGGTTTGGGACATAAACATGGCCGTCGTGTCATTGTTTTGGGACACAAATATGGCCGCCATGACGTCATCTGAAAACACACAACAGAAGCTTTAGCTTGACTTTTTTTTCACTCTTCCGGTTTTTCGGTACTCACCAGTTCCTCTCACCAACCTTTCCATCTTCTCACAAGAAACCACGCGTACGAAAGTTGTTGAGATTTGTATTTTGATTAGGGTAAAACTTTCCAGGAGAAATATCGTCCAAATCTATAGGATATCATTCATAAATTGCCCTAAGTAGTAATGGAATCTAAGACAGTCTGGGATTCTGGATTCCACGCCGTGGATTCCGGATTCCAGATATAGGATTCCAGATTCTGTGTCAGTGGAAGTTGTCGAATGGATTCCCGCGATTGCAATCATTAGTGGATTCCGGATTCCTTGAGCTGTATTCAGGATTCCCGATTCCACAAACAAGAATTTCCTGGATTCTGGATTCCACAAGCAAAAATTTCTTGGATTCCGCAATCCAGATTTCCTTAGATGGGGCGACATAAATCTACTTAATTTTTTTTTCCGTCTACTTAATATAATTCATTGGGTTCATTTTCAATAGAGAAGAGAAGTGTGGCGTCACGTTACCATGGTAGCACTATTACGGGATGACAACAAAACCGACGACGACGGCGACGGCAAGGAGAACGGCAAAATATAATATGTTTATATTAAACAATAACAACTTAACAATTTTGCACGTGCATCACGCTTTTTTTGTACATTTCTTAGCCGTCGTTGCACGACCTCGACATGAAACTTCCTAATTTCACGCGCCCGCTTTATGAAGAAGTTGAACATGATACAAAAAATTTCTTTTTCTAATCTTAGACACTGTCTTCTCGGATTCAACTCCAGAAAATTTCACCAACATTTGGCAAATTAAAATGAAAATAAATAAGATCGATGAACTTTGAAACAGTGCAATTTCACTTTTTAAGTGACGTTTTCGGTTTGTTGTCATCCAGAAATGTTGCTACCATGGCAACGTGACGTAAAGACTTCTCCTTTCTATTCGCTAATTTCATGGAGCGTTAATTTCCTATAATAAGATAACCCGTTTTGGCTCCATAATGAACACCATGCATATTTTATGTCAAATTAGGCTTGAACTTCCACTACAGTGCACAATTAAGTAGATATATATATATTGTTTACTAGCTTTTTCATTTAGCATTGGAACATAATTAGTCAGAGCATTATGTCCCCCACTACTTTCTTAACTCTATGTCGTTTTTATAGATGATAAAAAAGGAAAGAAAATGGAACGCAAATGAAACAAAACGAAACAAAACAAGTTTTACTACGAGTTTGATGAAAGAGGTGTGGTATAGTAAAATATTATGCCGTGTCCAAACAAGTAGGTCCTTCAACGAAACAGATGATTTGTCGATAAAGTTTAGTTGTTCACAACAATTAACAAAATTAAAGGCTTTACTGGTTTAGAGTCAATTACCCATACTTATGTACGTCTAGGAAGCGTAAGCAACATTTTTGTATGGAATCTAACTTAGAAAGAGTTATAAAAGTATTTCATAAATTGTGAAAGAGTTGTTCGAACGAGCTAAAATTGCTCGGTTTTGGTAGAAGAAATCATCGATAACAAAATGAAAAGTTGATGCATATGCAAGTGATTAAAGAAACTTGATTATCATCAGGGGGGGACGTCTTGTAAAAGTTCACGATTTTACATCTCGATCTGTATGCTTCAGCAAATATTTTCAGAAATTCTAAAAGCATTAAATATCTCAATACGAAAGAGAAAAATGTATCGTAATCTGCAATCAACAGTCTCGGAAAAAAAAAACGGATATTAAGCTTTCAGACTGAATAACATTTTACATATTAATTTATTAAAGAGTTTGACTGTGTAACTTGAGGTCCTAGCTTTTTGCAAACTTGCCATGGAATCGTCAAACTGATACTGAGTTCATCTGCTTACTTCAATCTATACACGCT